TCACACTAGGTGCATTACTTAACAACAGGGATCTGGCGAGAAACGTGTCACTGGGCAATCTGGCCCCATCACACGTACATCAGAGTGTCCTCACACAGACTGAGACAGTCACGACGTCACTCGGCAGCGTAACCGTAAGACAGCCACACATACGGCTCTCCGCTGACCAACACAGCATTCTGTGCCGTGTGACTGTAACTGGACCAAGGCAGAGGGCTCCCAAGTCCTCTACATTACCCAGATCGCTCCACGTAGTATTACTAATGCTGTTCTCTCAAGAAACAGTAGTGAACAACACAGAGATGTCTCCTGTCTTTTCTGAACTTTGTAAAGGAATACCACAAACTTCCAGAGAAAAAGCACTGGACACAAGTAAATGTTTCATAGTCTATACACTATATGCCTACTGCTTAGAAAGTACTCCCCTAGGGGAATCTTTCTGTAAGTCCTGTAAGAAAAGTGATTGCCCCAGGAAAAGCACAAAGGTAGAAGGGCACAGGTATGGAAGGAAGGGTGTCTCTCAGACTGTACACTGAAGATGGCCAGCCACTCGCTGACACCCCACCCCCCGAGACTTGAGCTCTTATTTACCCTCCCCTCGATTCCGTGACGGCCTATAAAAGGTAGAAATCACACTGTGAAAGGAAACCCAATGAGACAATTACAGAACAATCATATCTCCGCAGATTTAAAGCAACACACTAAGTTCCTGGGTTCTACATTTTTACTTCTCTGCAGTATCAAATTTGGAGAAGTGCTAACTAATAATGTAATATAAGTCGTGAAAACCATCATGCCAGAAAACGACCGAGTCTACATTATACTGCACGCAGGAGAAAGTTTCAGTCTAACACCTTCTTGGTTCTGTCAACTCTCTATGTTTTACTCTGAAGAATAACTAGGAGCATAATTCCTTGAATTTGAGCAGTACCTAGTTTAAGAATGTAATATATAATATTTTGGGAATTAAAATCACAATGAAGGTAACATACACAGGTATGATACTATTAGGTCTCTCATTCTTGCTCTGAAAATCTACAGAAAATAGCTTCTTTTCTTTGAAATTTAAACATATCTAATTAAAATCCCATATCAACCATACATACTTTTATTCAAAAAAAAAAAATACACTCAGAAGTATTTCTGTCACCTCAAATAATCTCTTTATGTTCAAAATATATTTCCAGTACAGTGGTACCTCAGTTCACGAACTTAATTCTTTCCATGATTCTAGTCTCAGACTGAATCAAATGAGAATCAAATCAAATTTCCGCATAAGGGCAACACTGAACCTAACCACTGAATGTGATTTGGTTCTCCTCTGATTCAGTTTGCACCCAGAATCATGGAAAGAATTAAGTTCGCAAACAGAGGTACCGCTGTATCTTCTAAGTCATTCTAAAAGAATGTTCTTAGGTTTACTCACTGAAACCCTGAGGCTATACTTCAGCTTCCCCATTTAGTCAAATTTATTTCTCCTCTATAGCCTGTGAAGTCCAAACCGGCCCACAGGTCCATGATGAATGTTAAGTTTTCACCTATGAATTTAATCCAAAGCACTGAGATATACAGCTTGGCAGAGAATGAGCCTAACCAGCTAACTACCCAACACCCTCATCTCAATGGAGCATTAATATTTTCTACCAACTGACAAGTATATACAGGAGCTTCTTATAATTTATGCTAGTTACATTCTATGAAGCTGCCACAGCCCTGATTAACAAATACAGGAATCACTGTTCCTAAGGGTAATACAGGATTAGGGTCATATTAGCTTCTGGTCATAACAACTTTATCAAGAAATCAATATACATTCTTGCTTCATTTTACTGAAACGCACACTGTTGATTTATGAACACTGTCCTCACAACCAACAGTACTACAACTCATGCCTGAACAAAGTTTATGTGACGTGTATTTTCCCCATAAAGTATCTCACGACCTTCTTGTACTTCAGAATACTAGACAGCACCTCAGCGTTATGCTTGGGGAGAATTTTAAACAGCTAAATCATCCAAAACAGCACAAAAATGTAAAAGATGTGCTACTAAACACTATGAAAACAACTCCTATCTCCTGCCTAAGAGTTAAAACCAGAAAGGCAGAGAGCTGCCTCACTCAGCCTTGGCTGCGCAATTCAGACTTTTAGAGTTTTCAGCATGTCCACAAATGGCCGCAAGAACTCTGCAAGAACCGATTTGAGGGCTACAAATAAATTTCACAAAGTAGGCAAAATTGCACATACACAGTAAGATGAGGCAGGAAGATTGCCAGAAAATCAAAGCCAGCCTAGGCTACACAGTGATTTCAAAGCCAGCCTAAACTAAACAGTGAGACCCTGTCTCAAAATACTAGTAATAATAAAAGTAACAATACAGTTTTTCCTCACCTGTGGAGTTTCCTTTCATTTTCCTGATACAGTTCAGTCATTACTTCAAGTTTCTGCTGAAGCCTCTGACTCTCACTTGCAAGCTGTGTATTTTGTGACTGCAGTGACGCTTGTTCAGCCTGGAGATTTTTAATACGCTCTACAGAAAATTTGGAAAACTCAAAGAAATAAATATTCTGATGTACACTGACATTTCAAAAGATAAAAACTACTAAAAATAATTTATAATCTAACTTCAAAAACAATGGGAAACCTGTAAAGTCTTTTGTTCATGCAAATTTTTTTTAATATTTTACTTAAGGAGCTATATACTTTGTTCTAATTTTTTCATTAGTATATCCTTGCTATACATCATAGTTATATTCAATCTGGGGAAGTGGCACATGTACAGAGCATATCTTCATTTTCGATCCTCTCACCTCCCTCCCCTATCACCATCCCATCTCTATGACTACCTCTCTGCTTCCTACAATTTCTCCTTTATTTTACTCTATTCGTGTCTCAGATTTGTCATATAAGAGAAA